GCCATTGTGAATGATATTGTTTCCTGATTTCTTGTTCTGTAGGTTCATTATTATTATACAGAAACACCGTTCATTGTTGAGTATTGATTTTGAATACTTCTATGTTGCTGACTTTGTTATTCTTTTTTTTTTTCCTTTGACTTGGTTATTAATACTAGTTTTTTGGTGGAATGTTCTGAGTCTTCCATATAAAGGAATATATCATCTGTGAATAAGAATAATCAGGCTTCTTTCTTCTTATACATATCCTTTTTTTTTTCTGTTGCCTGATTGATTTGGCTAAAGTTTTAAGTACTATTAAGTAGTGGTGATAGTGGATATTTTTGTCCTGCTCCTAATTTTAAAGCGAATGTTGTATTTATTACAATGTTGGCTACTTGTTTGGCAAAAAAGCCTTTATCAAGTTGAGATCTGTTCCTTCTATACATTTATTTTCTTCAGAGTTTTATCATAAGTGGAGGGGTTAGATTTTGTCAAAGATTTTTCTCCATCTATTGAAATGATTATGTAACTTTTTACTTGCTTCTGTTTGTGTAACAGCCTACATGTGTCGATTTGTGTATATTTAACTATCTTTGCATCCTTGAGATAAAGCCTACTTGGATATGATGTAAGATTTTTTTAATGATTTGTGGTATTCTGTTTGCCCGTATCTTATTGAGAATTTTTGTGTTTATGTTCACTGAAGAAATTGGCTTATAGTTTTCATTTTTAGTTGAGTGCTTGCCTCATTTTGAAATCAAGGTAATGCTAACTTCCAGGAAGGAGTTTGGTCGTACTCCTTCCCTTTTGATTCCATTGAAGAATCCATGCTATTGGATTGTTCCTGAGGTTTTTGTAGACTTTGATGGAATACATTTGGTCCTAGGCTTTCTTAGTCAAGTCACTGCTTTCTCTAGCTCATCTTATGGCCTGTAGATTCATGGGCTTCTGTCAAACCCATTCCAGAGGTCCCTGTGTCCATCCACCACAGGCTGTACCAACAGGCCAAACTGAGGAATATCTCTGATTACACTGGTAGATGGAGAAAGTAAACAGACACTGAACTCTGTGCTGGTTAGACAGCAGAGCAGGAGGAATCAAGCCGTGCCCTGGAGTTAATGCTAGCACTTTCAGTTCTAGCCCCTTCTACAAACCATTTGTGACTTGCCTGCCTTCTTGCTACAGAGGGTACAGTCACCATGTCTCTTCAAGCCTCAATTCAACACTGCTTAAACCTCGCAGGGGATCTGTATCTAGCCTGCGCCATCCCCATGACTATCTCTTGTGATTGCCTCCCACCCAATCACTGTGGCAGAATGACCCCAGAATCCCTGAACTACAATTGTGTAGCTTCGAATTCCTAAAGCAGCGCACTATTAAACAATTAATCTCTTCCCAAAATGGCTCCTGATTAATCATTCTCAAACACTGTGAGTGCTACAATGATGTTTTGCTCTAACACTAGCCCGTCATAAAGAAGGAATTACTATCCTTCCCCAAATCCCACAGTGTTTTTACAGTTTGCAGTAACCAAGGCCTTTTCCTGAGCTACCACTGCTGTCCGACTCCACTGTCCTTCCTGCTGATAATCTTTTCCAAGTTTTCTGTATGTTTGCAGAGCCAGCAGCCACCCCTCCCCAGGAGCTAGGTTTAGCATGCCAAACTACTTCCATTTTTTTCCAGTATTATTTTTAGTTTTTACAGTTTCTTTTTGATTTCTAGTTTTCCTGTAGGCTCTTTCTTAATTCTTAGACCTTTTCTTTCTCTTCTCTTCATTAGATGTCATAAGTTCAGGTCCTGGAGAGACTCGTGTTATACTGTTGAATCTTATACCGCTATCTCCCTTCCTATTAATTATATCTCTGTTATCTTAATAAACCTGGTGGGAGGAACAGACCAGGGCACATGAAGTCACAAAATCTAAAAAAACCACCATGAGCACAACTGAGAATAAATTATATATATTAGATTAAAAACCTAAAATTTCAGGTAATAAAATTATCTAAAAAGTATTTTTAAAGTCAAAAATTATAAGTGTTAAACTTAAGATGGTAAAATACTATAAACAACAACAAAAAAGAAATTTGAAAGGAGATAATAATTATTTTCAACTATTCAATGTGTTTCAGGCACTATTTCAAGCATTTTATACAAATTTTATTTCATTTTCAAAACAACACTATATTTCAGTCCAATTGCTCTCCCAATTAAAACTCAAACACAAAATTTAATTACTCTAACTGAAACCCCAAGGCTAGTAAATAACTGTGCCAAAATGTAAATTCAGACCATCCTTTAAAGAGCAATGCTTTTAATTATTTTGCCAATAAAAAGCTCATAGGAAAAATGTAATCATTGAAATAGAAAAGCAGTAAGTTAAATAATAAAATAGATACAACTGGAGAAAGTGTGAGTAAACTGTAAAGAGAGGCTAAAAAATTTCATTGAATGCAAAAAGGATGGGAAAGAATTGAAAATTTTGAAAGATTGTTAAGAAACTATAAGAAAGTCTAGTAAACTTCTAAAAGTAATTTCTGAAGATGATAATTAAAACAGAAGCAAATCAGAATTATAATCAAGAGATAAAAATATCTTTTAAACTTGAAGTTCAAAACCTTGAAGTTTATCTTTTAAAATTGAATGAAATCCTTGGAATAGTTATGAATCTCAGAAAACAAAATTACTTCAGATTTATAAATGTCATAGCAAAATTATATGATACAAGAAGAAAGTATTAAAAGCACACTGAGAGAAAAGGCAGTACATAAGATCAACAATTAAACTCAAAGATTTCTCAAACAGGACACTAGAGTAAAATACGGCAACTGTGTAATAAAATAATAAAACTGTTGGCAACAAAAAGAAGGTATCAACTTTCAATTTTACTTTTGAGCTTACTTTACTTTTATACCAATACAGTCATACAGTCATACAGTCATAAAATAGCACTAAAAAGTTCAATGTCATAAAGAAAAAAACTAGTAAATAAATAAGGAGTAAAACATAAGAAGCCATGGATACGTTTAATGTAAGAATTAAAGTGAAGAGATAGTTATCCAAAGAAGTTCAAGTTGTTGATCACACAGTACTCCAAGTTCACCCTTTTGAGCCTTCGCATCCCTGCCCAGAGCTCCCAATTCATAGATGTGGCAGATATAAAAAAGGTATGTTTGTTATTTTGAAAAGATAAAAAAAGATTCATGGACCAGAAACAAACTCAAAGCATAAAATGCAATTGAAGGAAAAAAGAAAACATGGCTAGAAGGTAGCAAGTAGAGAGCTCCAGAATCTGGACTAAATGTGATGTGTTTGAGGAACCACTGAAGCTAAGGTGGTTGAAGTACTTTATGCAAAAAGATGTGCAGCAGGAAGCTCTGTAGTATTAAAGATTAAAAATCCAGATTTGTATTTAAATTGGGTAAGATACAGTATGATAATGAAAGAGGAAGAAACAGTCTATTTAATAAATAATGGTGGAAAATTTATGTCTGTTTGAAAAAATAAAGCTTGATGCCTACCAAAGAATAAATATAAAAGACAGCAAAAATTTGAAACTTACCTCACACCAAATATTTATATTATAGTGAATATATAAGAAAAATGAAGCATTATAAAAATAAGACTATTTTTTATGTGACAATATAGTCTGATAAAAGATTTTATGGTTTGTGTGTAGGTATCCCCCAAAAGCCTCATGTAGTCATGGAGGCAGCTGAATCTAGTGTTTGAGGTTGGTTCGTGGCCTAGCACTGGGATTGCAGTGTGAGTGCTGCACCTGCCCAGGGGCAGGTAGCCAGCCTAATATATAAGGGAGGAAAGGAAACATATTTTCACTTTTACCTTGTTTGTTCTTGTCAGTTGCAGCTGCCACAAAGAGCTGCCCCTTAGCCATGCCACACTGCTTTGGAACCACCTGAGTATGGACTGAAACCTCCAAAACCTGTACCCTAAACAAACCTGTCCTTCCTTAATTTTGAGTATCAAGTATTTTGTCTCAGCAATGAGAGAAAACTAACCAACACAGAAGATAACAGAATGAAAGGAAACTCTGTGTTAAGATGAAAAGAATTTTGTTTAACCACACAAGAAAAGTAATCTTCTTTTTTTTTTTTTTTTTTGTTCTGGGAATCAAACTCAGGACTTTGTGCATGCCAGGCAGGCTCTGTGCCACTGAGCTATATCCCAGGCAATCCTCCATATTTTAAAATTCATGATCAACAAAATATGAAGTGAAAGACTAGGTGAAAATATTTGCATCATACACAATGGAGAAATTGCTATGAGACATATTTTTCAGTAGTTAATTTGAGATAGGCAGGCCCTGGGGAGTGATACGGGGGAACTTTCTGAACTGATGAAAATATCCCATATGATAGGAGTTTCCACTTCTCAGATGCATACATGTCTCAGACTGGGCACATACAGCCTGTGGATTTCACTGTATGTAAATTATGCCTCTGTATTTAGCTCTTATAACAGCTATGTGAGAAAAAAATACATAGGAAATTAGCAGACACTACACAGAAGATTTTAGAAAAATTACAACCATAATGAATTTATAGACAGATGCTAAACAGTATCAATAATTTTTTAAAATTGTATCTTTCTTCTGCAAATTCTCTAATTTATTGTTGATAAATAGATAAGTGTAGTCTTAGCTAGGAGAAATTTCAGAGGGTTTGACAAGAATTTTAATATGCATAACTAGAATGTATTAATCCTAGACTTCCAGATGTATCCTTCAGATAATCTCGCAAGTGTGCTTAAAAATGCTTGTACAAAAACATTTCCTTGAGCATATTCTTTCTAATATAAATTTTCTGAAAACTAATTTAATGTCCATCAGGGGTGAAAAAGATTAAAATATAATACGATGAACTATATATCTAAAAACTGTTAAAAGCATCGATTTCATATTTTATATTATATATGTAATATATATTTGCCACAATGAAGTTTATGGTTTATTTATACAATATATTATGCAAACTATTAAAATAGTATAATAGATACATATGTAGATTTTAAAATATTTTACTTTATTAAATAAGTATGTTTTAAAATACATATGTATTTGCATGTATGTATAACTGTACCAAAATGCAAAACTTCCAATGTGAGACATGCTAAGTTGCAACAATGATTACCACTTGTCTTAGCTTATAGAAAAATTTAAACTTTTTGCTTCATATATTATTAAATTGTTTCAATTAAAAAGACTGAGCTTGTAGTCAATTTAAAATTAGAATACAGACTTTGTCATATTACCACATTTTCAAAAAGTCCTAGAAAAAAAGAAGAACTATTATATTCATAAAGCTTCAAGAGGCCACACTATATACAGAATTTAGGATGTGGTGAAACTCATAAAAATTTTTATAAATATGGATGTGTTTGTCTTGTGCAGACAAAATTGGGCATTAAACCAGTGTAACCACCGTGACTCTTCTTTATAACTGTGTTTTAATACAAAATAGACTAAGTCAAATTTCTTAGGGGAAAATAGTATGATTCAGGCAGGGACAGGGCAGGGGTTCTGTCCTGTGTGCACAGCAAACACTTCCACATGTGATGCACATAGGTCTCTCTTCAGAGTAACACTGCAAAACCACTATACTCTTGCGTTTGTGCACTCTGAGCTTCACTGCCCCTCCACTCCAAGACTTCAGTTTATTTTATCCTACTGTAAGTGCATATATTCAACCTGTTCCCAAAAGAACTAGCAGAAATCAGATTCTGATGGCAAAGTCCTTCCCATTCTTTAGTCTAAATCGATCTAAGTTGATTCTCCAAGGTGGTCTCTTTGGATTTTGTGCCAGTTCACAGAAGATGAAGGCATCATCTCATGAAAAAAAAAAAAAAAAAAAGGCATCTGTGTGAGAGGTACTGAAAAGCAGACTCCTAGGATCTCTGAAGATTGTGTTGAGTCTAAGGCTCAAAGTCACGGATGGTTTCCAAAATGTAGAATCTTCTGTAATTTTACATAGCATCTTCATAGTCCACATCTGTGACATCTGCCTTTCTCAGCCTGGAATAGATGTCTGGGAAGACCTGGAAGCAGAGGTAATGGGCAGAAGGTTAGGAGAGCACACCCACTAGCTGTGGACATCTCATCATGGCACGTCACACCAAGAAAGAGCTTCTTAGAAAGGGCTGTGGCTCTCCACTCACATTTCCAGGGGTCTACAACTCACTGGAGACCACTGAAGTGCTCCTGATATCTGTAAATTGACATAAGGCTGTCCTTATTTTAATAGGTGATTGTTGGGCAGTCTTGTGGGCTGTCATTTTTTAAGGATGATAAGAATTCATAAACTAAATTTAGCAAGTCACTGGAATTTTCCCAGGTCTTTAGTTCTACCTAGACACATCTTGTTCCCCTACAATCCTACACAAGACTGAAAACCACCTATCATTGTGTACATGTACAGAGTTGGAATGCCTGCAGTTTTTCAGAATATATTTTTGTATTATGAGCAATATCATGACTTTTTCAAAGTTGATACATAACATAAATCATTAACTTAGTTTTGTTCAACATTTAGTTTGCTGTGGATTATTATGTTAACCTTATGATACTAAGTGATACATACGTGATTCAATGGTATTTTGTAGTAAGGATTTTCAAATAAGCAAACTTTTTAATCAAAGTATGCTCTGGGACTGAAATACAAATATCTATGCATCCACAACTCATGTAAAGGTACATGTGAATCTCCCAAATTCCCTTGTACAGTTATTTGTTATTGCTATGATTAAATATTTTTACCTCTATTGTGTTGGTACATAAGGGACATTGAGATTTTTTCTTTTCCTACATGTCTATAATTTAAGCAGCTAGAGAACTATTCCTTAGAGGATGCAAAGAGAGTGCATGAAGAAAAGAACAGTGGGGGCCCTGCTTACCTTATTCTCCATGTGTGTCCCCGTGTGTTGAACTGAGGAGGGAAAAGGAAGTGTGAGATTCCAGTTACAAGGGTCTTTCATTAAACTCCTGTTAATATAAGCTTCTTCCTTTCCCATGTATTTCCCATGGATTGATTTCCAGCTTACAACCTGTGTTCCTCTTCTATCACAAATATGATTATCTTTAATATTCAGGGGGAAAATATGGTAGCCTGGGGTGGATGCGTAAGCAGCCACTCCTCTCACTCTGCGCCCTCCAGGCCCAGCATAGACAGCACCTTTTTGCATCTCACCTTTTCTGAGCCTGTCATGTGTAAGGTGACAACTAGGGCAACTAGGCATCTGTGATGGGTGCTACAGGAGTAAGTAGAGCTACTCTAGAAGGATAAGCAGAGGCCACCATCTGCAGAATGTGCTAGGAACTGGGGCACAAAACAGGTCAAGCCAGGATAAGCACTGGGCTGTACTTGAGGCCATGAGGCACTTCCAAAACAAAAAAGTCAGTCTCTGGGCTGGCAGAAATTCAAATAGTCAGCTTCAAAAGCAAAAGCAGCTGCTTTGAATAACACTGTCAGATAGCCATACACAGCCACTGATTATTCTCCCATGCTGTGACCGATGCAGCTCTTGATGTTTGGGGAGGAAAGGGCTTCGAGAGTGAGAAAATAAGGAAAAGAGAGAAAAGCTGAGGTCAGCCCCCCCCCTGTCCTGGTGGGAAGGAAAGACCCGCCCTCTCACTGTAGGGGTGTTTATTTATACATTTAGCAATTTAATGCCACATGAAACCCTGTTGCCTACTGATCTGCGTATGCATGGCAACCTAAGGGTTTGATGTTTGGGGGCTTGAGTTACTAGTTTTTGCGGCTTGTCCTGGACAGCCTTTGTTCTCCCACCTGACTCCCCAGACAGCCCTCTCCCCTGGCAGATGTGGTCAGATTACACTCTTGTATCCAGGAAAGGCAAAAGTTAGAGACAAATTTACATTACTCCATGTCTTACCTATTACTGGTTCTAGCTCCTGCTGGTTGTGGTACACCAGTGAATAAACCTTATCCCCACCTACAATATTTGCTACAAGAGAAAAAAAGGAGATATCATGGCACAGTCTTGTCATTCTAGTTACTCCATCCTTATCATAACTGTGGAAGCAGATGAGTCATTCAAGTGCAAAGGAAGTTGAGGCACAGCAGGATCAAGGCTGGCTAAAAGATGCCATCCTGTTGGCCAGCTCCCTGTACCAACTTGGGCCCAGGTTGTTGGGAAGACTCACCATTTTCATAAAAAGGTTGTAGCTGCATTGAATCAGGTGAGTTGAGATAGTCAGACTGTTGGGTTATAGGGCTGGCATTTTTCCTGCAAATAGAGAAACAGAGCTTATCTATCTGGAGTAGCCTCTGGATATCTCAGAAATCACCATTTGAGATTACAAAATAGTGGAGAGAACCCTGTTGAGGTTCTGAGCAGAATATTAAGTCATGGGAACTGGAGGCACAGCTGTATAGTACAAGCCATGACCCCCTATATGGACCATACAGTGCATGGCACAGTTACCATACAGCATTTCTTACACAAAGTCCTTTGCAGCTGGTTTACTGTAACTCTGGCCATACCCAAAATAGTGCTACTGACATCATAAGGGCTCAGGGAATACTAAATAAAGATCTGGAAAACAGGTGACTGGCCAGAACAAGTGCAAAGAAGCAACAGGAGAAAATAAGGCCAGGTGACTGGCCAGAACAAGTGCAAAGAAGCAACAGGAGAAAATAAGGCCATGCATGCGATAACTGAAAGTGACTTGGAAAAAATATCTGTTGATTGTTGGCATAAACAATAACAGAATAAAAACATATCAACTAAACAATGCTATCCCTAGATGAAAATATTTTTAAATATTTTCTTCCTGTAAACTTCTAAAGAATTTCATCAGCAATTCTTTGGCATGTTTGTTATTCGGTCTTGCATTACAGAAATAGGTATGTATTTTACCTTCTCTAATATATTTAAGATTCTCAATGTCTTTCCATATATTAAAGTCTCTCAGCAGTCAACAAAACAATTTAAAATTCCCAGATATTGGCTGACTGCTTGAATGAATGAATGGCCTTTCCAAGCAAGGAAACTTTCTTATTCTGCAGATGTGTTAAGAGGAATTAATAGAAAAAACAGTAAAATACTTATTATGTGAAATCTAACAGAAGAAAAACAGCAAGTAAACTTTCAAAGTTGCCAGGGCAGAACTCAGAAGTTAGGTGTGGTAAAACAGGACAAAAGTTCGTGACAGAGACCAACTCAAATTTTTAAAAATATATTTTTCCGCCTTATGGGCACAAATGAAGGAAGCAGAAACCTCACCTGAGTGGATCCTCAGCTGAGCGTCTTCCTATAAGGCAAACACATGAGTGCATTTTAGTGAGGAAGCTGTGCTTCTCAGTACTTCCATATTGCCCTTGCCCAGGGATGCCGCCCACCCCAGGATGCCCATTGTAGATATCAACATGGCCCAGAGGAGATCCCAGCTAAGTGACACAGTCTCCATTTCACCCATGAGGAGGGGCCTGCACAGTTAAAGAGACCTCCCCACATACAGTAAGTACAAGGCTAGGACTTGAGCCAGGTCACTGAATACTTTTTTGGGTTTTGCAACCACACTTGCCTAAAGTTCTGCAGAGCAGGTAATACCATAGACATGTTATACGTGGGAGAAATACCCTTAGGTGCTGGTAAGTCTTGGAATTTAAATAAGAATCTCATGTTGTCCTTTCTTGCCCCATCTCCAACTTGTTCAGTGGAGATCAGAAGACCAAGATTAAATACACATATCAATATGGAAGTATCAGTTGTGATAAAGCAGGAATTGGAATCATTTAATAAGAGAATAACTGCAGGCTGTGTGATCAGGTGAAACCTTCTAAAGAAAATGACATTTCCACTGAAAAATGAAAAGCAGTGATTAAAATCTGAAAAGGCACATGACAATACCCTAAGGCAGTGATGGTGAACCTTTTAGAGCTGTCACTGATCAAAACAGTCCAGTGCAAAGCCGCCACTGCCCCAAGGTGAGTAAGACTTGATGGACTGACTGCAGAACCAGGAAAAAGGTGGAGCCCCTAAACACTTTTCTAGAGACTGATTGTTTTAAACAGTTACATTTTTACACCAAAATAAAATCACAGAAGAACAAGCTGACAGCTGAACCTGAACTGATGACATATGAAAGACAAAGAATTTTACTAAAACGTTTCATCACTATAGTAAAAAACTAGGGGAAGGAGTAGAGAGTAGACCCACAGATAAGGTGGAGAAAAGCATGTATTTATCCTTTGTAGTATGCACACCACAAAGCCAGTCTATTTCAGTGAAATCAAAGGTCACAGTAACAAAACAGCAATCTCTGTAAACACTGACCTGTTCTTCTCTTGAGCCAGTAGCCAAACAGCAGGGCCAGAAAAATGATGGCACCAAAGCTGGCAAACAGCCCTTCCATGACACCTGAAGTGAGATGATCACTTCCGTTCCAGTCAGGCACTGAGGGGAGAGACTTGTGCGAGTTATGAGGAAGATATTGGGGTCCAGAGAGCAGACAGTTTGGGGCTGGGCTGTGTCCAGTGTGTACTCTTTCTGGGAGGGATTTATAATACCTTTTTGCTTTTTTGCTTTTACCTGGTAAAAAATTATTTGCCAAGAACACTTTTTGTGGATTCACACTCAATAACCATACAAAGTGCCAAAATAAGACAAGCAAAAATAGCATCAGGACTACCCACTACCAAACCTAACAAAATGCCAGAAAAGTCGCTTCTAATCCTAGAACTATTTTATAATACAAAAATGAGAAAATTATAGCTGGGTGAAGACCTTGATAACAAATCTTGCTATACTCTGAATTCATGCTACTTGGAATCTAACAAGCACTATGTCTTGTATTTGAAATTATGCATAATGAGAATTTAGAAACATAGTTTGACTCATAAAAAAAGTAATGGAAGAGGGGAGGCAATTTTCCATTTAGCTCAGAACACTTACTCTAATGTAGGAATTTACTTGTATAGTTAGGGACCTGCAACTTCATCACATTGGGGGGTTCAGCAAGGCACTGAACCCCCCAATCCTCCACGCCTCTCAGGTGCATTGCCATGAGAGCACCAAGTGTAGAAGCCCATCTTTGGCAGCACCCCACCAAGTACACTGTTATGTCAGAGAGCCTCTTGCAAGAAGCTGGAAGAGACCAAGACAGCCCCACATCTTGAGCTATACCTGTGACATTGAGTGCTACAGCCTTACTGCGTTGGGCCCCCAGGCCATTGTCTGCCTCACAGAAGTAGTTTCCAGAATGTTCTGTAGTCAGGTTGAGGTTGAAAGACACTCCTCTTCCAGAGGGGGCTGAGCTGTTCCTCAAGATGACATCCTCATGATAAAGCTGGTACAGGATGGGGGCAGAGCCTCTCAGGGCCTCACAGTGAAGCTCCACTGTGTCCCCAACCATAGTGTGGGCCCTGGGGGCCCTAAGAGTAAGGACAGGGTGGGACACTGGACCTGGGAAAACAGTGAGCAATCAGAAAGGAGTCTCTGAGGGTGCAGTAACCCCACAGTCCCTTCCTTCCTGAGACTCAGTCAGACTAAACTTCCTCCAGTTCACAGTATGAGATGGGCTGCCCATTCTGTGGGTGGAGGAACCCTTTTTTGTTGGGGAGGGGAGGTACTGGGAACTGAACTCATGGCCTCACACTTGCCAGGCAGGCACTTTGCCAGTGAGCTAGGTCCCCAGCCCTGGAACTTGCTTTTTTTTTTTTTTTTTTTTTTTTTTAATACATGGAGATTTTAAAAAAGGGTAGAAATGATACAAACTTACAGAAAAACAAACGGTAAGAAATTGCTGGTTGATAAGTTACACATTGTCATCTTAGAAGTAGCTGTTCATGTTATGGAATTAAAGCATTTAGAATGACATTCATAAAGTGACACTACAAACCCTTCTGCTCTATGATCGAACAAGAGCTCAGTAACATGGTTATCAGTCCTACACATTTGTTTTACTTCTCAAAGAGGGTAAGATTAAACATATCAAAACAGAACATAGCAGTTAAAAAAACAATTTAAAGAAATACAGATTTCATAGGAAGCCCACTGGAGATCTTGATTGTCTATCTAACTGTCTCTAGTTTTTTACAAATAGTTGTCTCCATCTTCATCCACCTTATATACTTAGTGTATATTATAGAACTAATCAAATCATTGAAGACTTTTTAGGTCCTCAAGTACCAAATTAGGGAAGACAATAGTAACTACCAACTCACCTCTCTTACTCTTTGTGATAGCTGTCCCCATCTCTACATATGCTGAAATTGAACTCAAGAAACCAGTCCAATGTCATTCTAATCAGCAAACATTAGTATTGCTAGAATTTCTATCATAATGCTACTAAATTAGCCTCGGGTTTCTTAGTGTCTCTTCCTCAGAGTATCTGTTCATTACATCTTACATTATATAATCTGTTCCCACAAATAATTAAAAAGAAAAAAAAGAACCCATGTGTGAATTTCTACATATATATCTATCCTCTCTGTGTTATAGGGAATACCAAGTCATAGCAAGACAACATAACAATTTCCTAGAAAAACATGCAATGGATAAAACATTTAAGACCACAATACAGATGATCTTCCATAGTTACTATGTTTCCTCTTGTTATTTTCAATAGATTTGACCACCACACTGGCTTATTATAGTTAAATATAGTATCACCTATTTTTATAAAAACTTAACTTTGGCAGCATTGTAGGGTTTGGAAGCTGTTACTAATTAATACCAGTATGGATATTCTTTACAACTTGTCATCCTCAGAGTAGTTGCCTCTACTTTTAGGGTTGATACTGACAAGCATACCAATTTCAAATAAAATCAGCCATGGCCAACCCATAGTCTTACGTTTCAGATTCAGTTAAGATCAGTCATAGTAAGACAATGTAAGTATTATAGGATTTTGGAACTTACTTTTGACAGTGATGTTTATCAACCCACTGAGGTTGGGGCCATGGCCATTGTCCGCCACACAGTAGTACTGTTCAGCATCCGTCTGCCGCACTGAAGGGATCTCAAATTCTGCTCTCAGTGAACGCTGGGTCTTTGTTCCCAGGTTTAAACCTAGAGCACCTCTGTACCAGAAGAAGGTGATGTCTCCAGTGCCATTAGCAACCGAACAGATTAGGACCAGCTTTTCTCCCTCCATCACCCACCTTCCTGGGGGCTGGGTCTCCAAGCTCACATCAGAGACAGGGATACCTGAAGGAATATAAATGTGAGGTATCTTAGAGAAGAGAGATTTTCAGGGACAAGGACTAAGCACGATGTCCTGAAAGTGGAAGTCGTTGATTTATATAATTTAAGTTGAGGGTAAGGTTCTGCTCAGTTGGAATCAGGTTTGGTTGGATCAATAACAGGAACACCACCACAGAAGCATGAGAATACGGCATGATTCCTCCCTAAAACAACATAACTCTCATTCTCATGACTCCCAAAGCCTTTCCTGCAGTGCTGAACTTAAATCTGGAACCCCATCACTATTTCCATCATCGAAGATGGTCAGCAGATGTCATGTTGTACTCTCCTCTCCCCAGCTCCAACTCTGAAAAAGCACCACCTTCAACACTCACTCTGCACATGTATCTGAAACCTCAGGCTGGTTTTTGTGATGCTGGGGGTCATTATCTTTGCCTGGCACCAGTAGGACCCCGAATCTTTGCTCCACACAACTGGGATCTGGAGCTCTGGGGAGGTCCTGCAGTCCAACCCCAGCATCTGGTTATCTCTGAAGAAGCAGAATTGGTTCTGGACATCTGGTTTCTGTGGAGGGAGCTGCATCACACAGGTCAGGATCATCGGGTTCCCCTCTAAGGGCTGGGAAGGGCTGGCTTTCAGTACAGGACGTGGAAGTGGCGCTAGAGAACATTGAACACAAAGTCCGGTTCATGAATAAGCATTTTGTTTACTGGCATCTAGATACACTGACTACCCATCCCCTCCTGACAAGTGGCTCATGGGCCTCCCTTTGCTCTGAGCCTGCTCATCTGGCCACTTGCTGTCTCTGGGCAGCAGCATTGATTTTAGCAGGGACTTGCTCTTATTAAATAGTTTGACTTTTCTGTCCCTGAGCTAAAAACTCCTTTCTCAAAAGCAGCACGAGGATATCAAAGGAGGTCACTAGAGTTGTATTAGAGACGATGAAACTTGAAACTTGGTAAAAATCAATGCTTTTCTTGTAATCTTGTTGTAAACCATATTGGTTATTTGCTTCTGTTGCTTTTTCCCCTGATTCCTCAGACCCATTCTATCTGTTGAAGACAAAACAGGGACCTGGACGGTCAGTCAGTGTGAGAATAACACAGAGGGACTTGACCCTTTTTCTGCTGACTGTCTTGTCTCTTCTATTGCTGTTTATATTGGAAGAAACGGAATGTGCTTGCCTGGAAATGCTCTGAACCTACCACCTGCAGAGCCTGGGTCTTGATGTGAAACATCTGTGGGAGCCATTATGTGAGAAGCAAAATTAGTTCACATCTTAAGCCTTAGGTATGTAACCCTGGAGGCCTAGGTCTCTTCTTATAGTTGCAGAAGCCTGTGAAATGTTACAAACCCTGATAGCACTGGCTCTGTGGGCATTTGTTTATCCAAACCTTAGATCCTTTGGCATTGGGAAATTTTAACACTTTCCCTAAAAGTAATCTTTCTTTCATTCATCAGATAAAGTACCAAGTGCCCTAGATCACTGAGGGGCAAGTCCAGAGCAGTATCTGAAATCTCCAAGTCTTACTGTTGGACAGCTTCTATCCATGGTCACTAAGTTGTTATCTTTGTCCCCAGGGCATAAAATATTACATACTTCTGTCTTTAGAAAACTGCAGTTCCTAAAAGACTGATAGGCAGCACAACTTTGAAGCTGAACAAAGATAGGTTTTATAAAATGCACTCAGGCACAGAGTCATCTGGCCAGGCAGGGGAGTCGGTGGGGTAGGAAGCCAGACAGGCTAACTGCAAGAGTCTGGTGCTCAGTCCTACAGTTCAGAGTTTGTTTCAGATAATTCTCAGGCAACAGAGATAACCTTAAGAAAAATACTTGAAAATTTTGTTTCCTTTATGTGACTTTTGGTTTTTACTTAGGCTACGATTGGGCATGTGGGCTTGGTAAACGAGACAAGCACGGGCCGGGCACGACATAAATAGAGACTGAGTTAGACTAACATCAGCCGAAGAATCCAGTAGGCTATTTCCGACCATTAAGGCTGTAACAATTCCTGATCTGGGCTCTTGGGTAAGCAACGGAGTCCCTTTTAACCAACTGTCACATGTATTAGATTTGAGCATGCTTTGGGGAAAATTCCTTGTGGTAAGAAAATTTCCTAATTTCCTCCTCTGGGAAAGGTGAGATTTTGAATCAAAATCAGAATAGTGAAGTAAGTTTATAAATATCAGAGCATGAAAAAGAAAACAGGATGAGGTAACAGAATGGAGTGAAAACAGGCAGGAGGCTCAGGGACTTGTGGCCTTTAGGGGAGGAAAAACAGAGGCTCTCCTAACATGGTTCTTCAGCATCCTTGGCCTTCCTTGTGCAAATGGCATTTCTCTATATATACTGAATCTAGAAATAAGACTACTGGAGAAAAGGACATTAAGATGCAGTAAGCAGACATAAGCTAAAGCAGCCAGGGCCCAGGGGATCCACTGATGTCTGTACACCTTAGCTATAGTCCCTGGATGGGTCCCAGTCGGGCATAGGCTTCCTGTGCCAAGCTGAGTGACAGATACTCACAGACTCAGGAAGAAAGGACAGTGCAACTCACCGGCAGGTTCACAGGGAAGAGCTGGAAGAGAGATCAACAGAGGTCAGAGCAGGGCAGGGGTCCCACCGTCACACAGTGTAACTCATCCCCAGAAGCCTTTCCCAGAAAGATGCTGTCTCTCCTCCATGCCGCCCCCGTGCCTCCGGCTTCTTTCTTTCTTTGCTTCCCCTCTCCTTTCTTCCTTTCTCTTTCTTTCTTCCCTTGTTATCTTATTCCTCTTTCTTCCTTCCTTCCTCCCTTCTTTCTCTACTCCTTTTCTCACATTTCAGAACATCCACAGAACATCCACTCCCCTGCAAAAAAACAGCAGTTATTTTCGTGATCATAAAGTAACTTCCAATAACTTTGTTCATCTGTGACAAGGAGACAGTGATTTTGTCCTTACCAACCCAGCATCTCTGTCATCAAGACCCTTATTTCCATTCCCACTTGCTCTTCTCAAAATTTTTGATGATCCAGCTCTAAATTTTAGCCTCATTCATGGTAACAGAGTCAGGCAAAAAGTGGGAAAGAGTCAGTCTCATGTTTAAGGCATGAGGTCCGTGGTTTACCAGTGTTAGGTCACAGGAGGTTTAGGTCTGGAGAAGGAATGCACATTTCTCCAAGGAATTCTCTCCTAGCTCAAGGACTTGACCATATTACAGCATAATGATCAAGAAGGGAAAATTCTGGAGAAAATGTACACTCTTCAAAACAGAGTGGCAGAGTTGGATCTTTGCTCTACCATTTGCAAGCTGTGTGAACCTGAAAAAAATACTCTTCCATTTTGTTTTAATTTCCTTTTCTGTAAAATGGAGTGCCTACTTACATAGCTTTTGTGAGAATTAAATTGGTTGATATCCATAAAGTGCTGAGAATCATGTCCAATATAACTTAGCATCCAAAAAAAAACATTTATTTTTTTATTCTGAGACAGGACCCTACAAAATTGTCCTGGAGAGACTTAAACTTGTAATCCTCCTTCCTCAGCCTCCCTCAGTGCTGGAATTACAGGTATGTGCCATTGAGTCTAGCTAAAATTGAAAATTAAGTTGTAGGGTTTAAATAGCTTTGACTACTTAGATAAATTCAATTTAGCAAAACTTGGAATTATACTTGAATTAAATCAGATAGAAAGTTTTTTGAATACTTGAGAAAGAGCATCTCTGGTAGAGACAGCAGCAAGTGCAAAGAGCCTAAAGGGAATGAGCTCATCTCAAGAGAATGAGCTTTCTGCTAGCAAGTTGGGGGAGAGGTAGACACTGGTGTGCAGAGGGAGACAGGAGCCAGGCATGGGCATCTTTGTGAACTTGATAACAATGTGGGGGTTCCATTGTAGATGTCAAGATGACACCGACAGTTCTGATTTCATTTACATTTATAAGTTCCCTCTTTCACTGAAGAAAACAAGCTATAGAAGTGCAAAAGAAGCAGGGTTAATACTTGTGGGAATTTAGGAGAGTAGAAAGAATGGTTCAGGTTAAACTATGCTGGTGATGGGAAGTGATCAGATTTTACCATAAGTTTTTAAAGCAGAATTGATGGAAATTGCTTATGGGTTAGGCAGAAAGTAAAAAAGAAGAAAAAGAGAGAAGGAGCAGAGAAGAGAGACAGAGAAAGAGACAGAGACAAAAAGACAGAGAATTATCCGTATGTTTTGACCACAGCAACCAGAAAAAAATATTACCGATGTCCAGTGAAATTTAGAAGTTGTTGGGAAAAGTCGGTTAAATTTTGTGGTATTAGGATTGGAGGTGAAAGATCAAGAACTCTGGGTTTAAGACATGTGTTAGACACCTAAATGACCACTGAATATATGAAACATGTTTTAAGAAGGGATCAAAGCTGGAGAAATAAGCTTGAGTTTAGGTTTAAAGTCACGCATCAGATGACAAAATGACGTGACTTGGGAAAGGGAGTACAGAGGAAGAAGAGCAGTGTAAGGGTCAACCTTGGGAAATGCCAACATTCTACAGTCAGTAAAGGTTCTAGCAAAGATGCTAAAGTACAGCAGATACAGTACTAAATTAGAAAGAAAACTAGCAGGACCTGGTATGCTGGGAGCCATGGGAAATCTTGGTTCCAGGAGTGGCCAATTGCATTGTGTGCCCCGACAAGGTTAAATAAATATGAAACAGAAAGCGATCTCTGAATGACACCACATGGTAGTGATGACTGACATCCAAAAAGCAGATTTACCACAGTGGAGAGACAAAAATGGATTGAAGTGAGTTTGAGAAAGAATAAAGAAGGACAGGGACCCAGAATAATTTAGTAGCTGCCAGGGGTTAGGAATGGGAGAAGAGTTGTCCATAAACATGGAGAATGTGAGGGGATATTTGAAGTGATGGAAATGTTCTGTGTTTTGATTGTGCTGATGGTCACATGACTGGAAAGCTCTGTCAAAAATAACAGTGTTTCAAAACAATGAACTGTAATGTAATTTAAGATGAAGTTTTCAAAAACAAAGGATGGAAGGAAGTGAAACAAGGGCAGTAAGTCACTGAAAACTTGGTAGAGGGAGACAGAGCAATGGTGCAGTGAACTGAGAGACCATCAGGACGTGTTCTGTTATTTTAAGATGAAGATACCACAGGAGGCTGAGGCAGAAAGAGGGTCAAAAGTCTGAGCCAGACAGGGACCCTGAGTGCCTAGCAAGTCCCATGTCTCAAAATTAAAGAAGGGCTGGGGTTTTAGCCCAATGTGAAGGCCCTGGGTTCAATTCCCAGTACTATAAAAAAAAAAAAATACACACATATTTGTATTTTATAGGAATAATCTAGAATGGAAAAACATTTTAATGGTGGAAGATTTTTGAGAAAAGAGTGTCTTGGATGCAATTCACAAATAGAGAGTCCTGTCTTCTACAGACAGGACTGGCACTGGGAGAAAAGACAGAGGATGAATTCAGAGGTAGGTGAGTTGGTAGATATGGCAGGAGAAATACGAAGGTATTTTCTTCTAGTTGCTTTTATATTTCAATAAAATATGAGGCAGCACGACAAATTGAGAGTAAACAGGGATAGGCTTGAAGAAAAAGGAAAAGATGTGAAATAGTAATCGCCATGAGTGGGAAAGCAGGACTTTAAAAGCATAGGAAGCAGCACCCAGCAGTGCTGAAGGTCACTTGAAATTTGGGACCTCTTGTTAAACAGAGACAGATCAACAAGAACGTACCTTTTGTTTAAAATCTCATCCTGCAGCTCAAGCACAGGTGAAGACGTGTAGAAAAATGTGTTGATCAGGACAGTGCAGTGGGGAAGAGGAAAAAAAGGAGGTTGCGATGATTTATAGAATCTAAGCTGAGTACTGTAAGCAGTAAGTACATGAAGTATAACATTTTGATCACAGAACGATAATACTGGGGAGCTGAAGACATGTTAGAGACGGAGTGCTACAGAAAGAGAACTACAGATACAATGAAGTGGAGTCAGTTGCTGAAAAAAAAGTGATAAACTCTAAGATGTGACAGTAGGAGTAAGAACTCTGGAAGATAAAAGGACATAATATTGGACAGTAAGGTAAATTTTTACAACTGGAGACCACGCTGACAAGTGAAATAAATCAGACCCACGTGTGCAAACATCATATTGTCTCACTAGTGTGAGAAGATGAAAGAGTAATAAGATCCAAAATGTACAACAGATATGGTGAATTGGGAAGAAACTTCAAAAGGAAAGAAAAACTGTGATGAGAGAAAAGAGCAAGGAAGGAAATGAAAAAGAAATATATATTTATATATAAGATAGTTAAGATATACTGCTTGTTTCTCTTAGTTCATTGAAAAGAAAGGTTTGTTCTAATATTGTTTGGATAGTATTGTCTGCCTATATCTTGCACTCTGAGTACTGCTTTGAAGATAACCATATTCAACGTGTTTGTGATTGTTGCTCTATTATCTTGCATTGAAATTCTTTTTTTCTCTTTAAAATAAAAAAAAGAACAAGGAAATGGGAGATCAATTTGTTATGTGGGGGGAGGGGCTGTTAACAACACCAAAACAAATCAAATACAGACAAAAGAAATCAAAACAGATCAAATACAGAATTTATGGTGAAAGGAAGAGTCGGTGAGCAGTTCCCAGGAGATAAAAGTTGAAGTGATCATTTTCTTTAAAAATCTGGCTTTCTGTTAGTGTATCTACCACTTTCTTCTGTCCGATTCACTAGAAGTAGAGGTCTGAGCATCCCTGAGACTGGCAGCCTGAAACTCAGTCCCAGAAGTGCCTCCCAGCTCTTCAGGAAGTGGGCCCAGGGTGATGCCAACCCACTGCCCACTCACAGTTGCCCAACTCACCACAGATGAGCAGCAAGAACCACAGCAGCATGAGGGAGAGGTGAGGATGGTGAAGAAAGCCGCTTCTCATCAACAATGTAATTCACCGCAGACTCAAGCGGGAGCAGGTCGTAAGAGGTTTGAGGAAGTCAGGATCGGAAGTTCCCTTCTGCACATGTTGACAGACATAGAAGCAAGAAGAACCCTCACAAAAGTCAGCCTCTATTTTCTCTCCAGTGGAGGATGAGAAAATTAAAGGTCTCCCTTTTCTTAATGTGATTCAATTTTACAATTTAGATATGAACATACCCAAATATGAGGACCCTCTTCAAGAGTTCAGATATGTAAGATGAGAGTTTCCAAAGATATTTTCTGACTTTGATGAGACTAATCAGGCTATTGTCCTGCTGAAAATTGAATGTTTATTTCATCTCTGATGAGGTTGTCTCCTCGAAAGTCTAATGAACACATCCTTCTTTCTATGCAGGGTCTGCTGTAGCCACACTATCCAGACTTGTGATGCAGGAATTGATGAGATGGTCGCTCAGGTTATGTGTAGGGTCTAACAGTTGTTGAATATGATGATTTGTGCAGGAATAAGATGTTCAGACAGACAAAATCTTCCATATTTTAACTTTCAGTGCATTAGTAAATGGTCTTGAAAAATAAAATCACAGGAAAGTGCAATCTGGAGGATGTTCAAAAATGAAATACAGGCAATAAACATATACAATTAATCTCTGGACATTTAGGAAGAGTTTGCCATTAGCATTAACTCTGGCATTCATGATACTGTGCCCTCCCTCAAAATCAAGATATTGATAGTCTCTCCTATTGCTTTATTTTTTAAATCTTATTTATTAGTACTATACGTGTTTGCAGTACATGAGTTTACATTCATTTTAGAGAGCAGGAAGCTGGGGATTTAGCTCAGCAGCCTATGCACCTGCCTTGCAAGCAGGCAGTCATGAGTTCAATCCCCGGTTCTGACTAAAAAAAAAAAATAAAGAATCATTTTAGAGAAAAGGTACAAGCATATAAAAAAACCTTGATTCTTTTTTAATCTCCTTCTCCCATTTCCCTCCCTCTATCTCGACAACTGTTTTTCTGCATTCATTTTTATTGTAATCATTAATGTTTTTAGATGTGTTCTATTGCTTTCGTTAGCACACCCGTTCTTGACAACTGAAACCTGTATGTAATTCAGATTATGGATTAAAAGAGAATGAGCTCTCTTAATTTTCAACAATAGTTGAATCTTTGAGTATTTCAAACCAGACAATACACAGAAAGCACTGTTAGGTGCCATGGAAAGGTGCTACCCACAATAACACTGAAGTCCAGGAAGCAAGTCCAAAGAGAAGATTTAGAAAAGAGAGGAAGAATTAGTGGTTGCAATAAGGGAGAAGGGAGAAGAGCCAAGTTGGAAGCCAGGATAACGGACCCAGGGAAGGTGATGAAAATCAGGTAAGTGTGCCCACATCTTTGCTTATTGGCTTGGGGAAGCCCAATCAGGGATATATATAGAAAGTTCAAAATTTCAAGGCCAACACAGAAAATTCTTCTCCCTCTGAGCAGGGAACCCTCTACGGCAGATTGTACCGTGGTTTTGCATAAAATGAACTGTTTCACATCCTTTTCCTGTGCTTGTGTGTGTCCTGCTCCAGTGCCTTCATGATTTCTTCAGATAAAAATATGCCATTCCTCTTTCTTCGTGTGTTGAAAGTCTCTTTAAAAACTCAGCTTATTTTTTGAAACTCAGCTTATTGATGTATAATTAACATACATTAAAGTGAATCCATTATAAGCATACTTTCATGTAAATAGAAACATGATCACAATCTAGAGCATTTCTGTGATCTCAGTGTGGTGTTTTGGTACCTCTTCCCAGTCATTCAAAGCCGCCCAGAACTATGTAACTGCTGGTCTGCTTTATCACTATGGATTAGATCTGTCTTTTCCAGGGTTTCCTATAAATGGAATTACACAGTACTTACTCTTTTGTCTCTAAGGTATTTTCCTCAGCATAATATTTTTGAGACTCATTCACATAAATAATGAGGAAACACTCACATACAGTTTTGGGGTAAATATCTGAGTGGAATTTTTAGTGAGGGTATATTTAACTTTTTAAGAAACTGCCAAATTGTTTCCACAAGAGTTTTTGCTACTTTATATTCTCACCAGCAGACTGAATTCCAGTCCACTTCAACTTAGGCTGAGCCATTCTGAAACATGGGTAGAGATGTCATGAGTTTAATGAAGCTGAATATTTTCATGCAGTTTTGGATCCACATATAAAATATTTCATGTTCTTTAAGATCTCTCAGCAATATTTTGCAGTTTTCAGTATACAGATGCTTTACATCTTTTGTTAACTGTATCACTAGGTCTTTCAAATTTAATTCTAAATGATAATACTTTGTGAATTTCAGTGTCTAATCGTTGCTGATATATAAATAATTTATATTTTATATTGATTTTTTTTAATCCTGCAATCTGGCTCTCTTGCTTCTTGGGAAATTCCATTAAGATTGTTATAAATGGATGTGTTATCTGTTAATAAAGACAGATTTTAATTGTTCTTTTCTATTTGTTTGTTTTTATTTTTTTTAATCTTGCTGCACTAGCTAAGACTTCTTTCTGTACAATGTTGAACTGAAGAGATAAGAATAAAAATCTTTGTCTTGTGCCAGTCATAGCCAGAATTAATTCATCTTTCACCACTAAGTATGACATTTGCTCTAAACTGCTTAAATACATCAAATAGCAAATTAAGAAAGTTCACTTATCATGAATGAATTTTAAATTTTGTCAAATATTTTTGAAGCATCTGTTGAGAAGATCACATTGATCACCTATTTTATTTTGGTAGTAGTGTGAATTTGATTTTTGGTTGATTGATTCATTTCAGTGGTGTAGTTCAAACCCCGGTTCTGTGGTATATTCAAGGTAATAATTCCTCTGAGATACATCACTAGGCCCATTATAATTGAGTGAATTATATTGATATTTGAATATCACCCAAACCTTGCATTCTGTAATTAGAACATGATGCATTATGTTATCTATATATTCTAGATTTGTTTATTTTCTGTTACTATTAACACAGTACCACAGACTGTGCAAAATTTTGACCCACATTCCTGAAAGTCTAAGGTCAAGGAAGTGCACCTGGGGATAACTTGCTTGTTGGTGGACTCCCAAGGCACTACACAAGGGATCACATGGCAAGAAACAGGGAGAGTGTGTGTGTATGTATTGGTCTCTCTCCCCCCTTACAAAGTCACCAGTAGTCAATCAGAAGGATTCTGCTACAATGATTTTATCTAATCTCGGTCACTTTCTAAGGGCCTCTACAGTCAAATTTCCTGCAGTTTAATACCTCACACAGGGTGATCAAATTCAACATTAGTTTTGAAGAGAAGAAACCATATCCAAACCATAGTATAATTATAAGAATATCAAAATATTTCTTTATAGAAAATATTTTTCTGTATTTCTTATAGTATCTTGTCTGGCTTTGGCATTTATATAAGACTTAAAAAATACCTTCGACAGCTAGTATTTGTTATAGTAAGAGTGGACCATGTCAAGAAAATAGGCAGTTAAACAGGAATGTGTCAAAACAACACTAATAACTCAATGTCCCCAAATAACTCAACTTAATGAAAAGATAGAGAACCACTAAAGTGGTAAGGGATACTCCAGAGGCAAGCATTAGCCAAGCATGGTACTTTACAATGGGGCTGTCCAACTAGAAAAGAAGTGGACAATGCATGCTCCTCCTGAAGTTTCTATCAAAAATGAAATAAATTATAAAGAAGAAACCATAATGTTCAAAATTTTTGTAAACTCTGATTCTAGAGGTGAGTATTAGAGTGCTCCACAGAGGAGCACAGCAATGTGAGAGGAGTTTGTAACTTGAGCATTCCAGTCAGGACAAGGATTCTCACCAGACTCACCAGATGATGCAGTTGGAACCTTTTGGGGCAAGCAATAGCCTGTGCTCCATGATGCAGTGATAAAAACACAGAAGAGATCAGGGCTCAGGTGCGGGAAGCAAGAGAATAGAGTACCTCTGGCTCTTATCCAACAAGCTGAGGCTGCTGTAGCGAAAGCTATGATGGAGAATTTCTCTGCCAACCTGGCTGAGCCATGGTGTCCAAATATGTGAGGAAACATTATCCTGGTTATTTCTGTGAGTGGGGGGTCTTAGACCATATTAACATGTAGTTGGTGGCTGATAAATAAAGTAGATTGACCTCCATGATGTGGATAGGCTTTATCCAATTAGTTGAAAGGCTGACTACAATAAGAGATTGATGTCTCTCAAGTGACAGTGAATTCTGCTTCGGACTTCCTTTGGACTTGAACTGCACTATCAGCTCATCCATAATTTCCAGCTCCCAATCCATCATGCAGATTTTTTATATAGCTTCCATAATCAAAAGCCAATTCCTTGAAATAAACCTCTTTATAAAAAAGGAACAGCTGTTCTTCAGTATCTATGGAAGAATGGTTTCAGGGTCCTGTGGAAACCAAAATCCACAGGTGCTCAAACCCCTTATATAATATACAGCATAGTATTTGCATAAAGCCTTTGTGTATCGTCCCTTATACTTTAAATTATCATTAGATTACTTTTAATGCTCAATGCTATGTAAATAGCAGTTGTATTGTTTAGGGAACATTGCAAGACACAAAAGTCTTGCCATGCTTTTATTTTTAAAAAATTTCTAACTGTGTTTTCTCTTTTCTGAGCATTTTTAGATTGGAAGTTGTTTTAATACGTGGATACAGAATCCAGGGTGTACTCTACATATTCGTTCTATTGGTTCTAGTTTTCCTAACCCCTAATGTAGAAGTTAATGAATACTTGAGGGAGAAATCTTTGTTCTCATATTTCATAGAAGAAAAAAATGTGGCCCATGGAGAAAAAAAAATGTTTATGATGTTGTAAAAGATTGGATGACTGCTTTTGGCCATTAGGTCCTCCTCCTACAAGAAATTTATACGTATTTTCTCATTGTCAGACAGCTCTCTCAAGTATCCTTTGGCAGGAATGTGTGTCCCTGACTCACTGGCTTTCCAATTGGCTCTGTGTTATATCCTGGCCAAACAGATATAAATGTCCAAGGGATTTGACACATCCAACTGGACACTTAATTGCAGTTGCATCAGTTAGCTTGGCTGCTGCCTTCAATCAGGATCCCAGAATCAGTAAATAGTTGGGAGAAATTTGAATTGAACCCACAGCCTAGACCCAAGCTCAGTTTAGGCTAGATGAGCCCAGGAAAACTTTAGCTGTGACCTTCAAGGAACCAGGAGAGAGGTAAAAAGTACATTGTAAATCATGAGCCCTTGGCCTGGTTTCTTTCCTCACAAAAACTACAACAATCACACAGTGGATTCACAGCTGGGCATTAACATGTATTATTGCTTTGATTTCATTTTCAAAATAGTTTTGTCCATTTATTTTTGGATCTCTGCTATGTCCATTCTCTATTCACATAGAGAATAGTCCTCACCACTCCTTGGTGAGACACAGAAGACAAACACTAGCAAGGTCAGAATAACTGAAAGGAAAATATCAGAGATAATCCCTGATTATCTGATGAGTGAGGTGGAAAGCCTCTTTCGAGAAATATTTAAAAATTTATGAGTCAGTGAATTTTTAAGAGATTTGATCCCTGTTTTCTTTACCCAACCAACCAAACTGAAACGCTGACCTCATCCAGAGAGTTACAGAGACATCAAGAAATAATACTTAATCCATCAAGTTGTCACATAAAATTAAGCATAAGTCTTTCATCAACCTGGCAACCCATCTTCTTAAGCCATACTTAATTTCCATTTGAAGACAATAACAAGGTCCTTATTCTACTAACATGATAAAAACTACCCTACAAATAACTGGAAACTTTTTCTGGTAATCCAGAAGTGCATGAAAAGCTACTGACTGATATTTTCTCTTTTATATCTCATTAACTTAAATATTAGAGTATAAAATTAACAATACTTAAATATTGACTTCAGTGAATATAGTTTATGTTACAGGATAAAGAAATAAGACAGGGAGGAAAACTGTATATATGTCAAATATTTTCATTTCATATACATATGATAGAGGTATATGTATATTTGAATGAAAATATGTATATTATATATATATATATGTGTGTATGAGAATAAAACATCTTTCTTTATTGATCACCTCTCCGTGACAATATATAAATATATCCATGGCAAAATAAGGAAGAATGCTCATAGCACTTGGTCAATGTTTTGATATCTGGTTACATGGTCATAGCTGATATTCATAACTACTTTCTTTTATTATCCATCTTGTATTCTCTTTGTTTTAGCAAGCTTTTCAGTTAGTTGTGTTTTTTTATCTGGTAGGATAACTCAAACTTTCATTCTTAAAGGTTCTAGCCTCTGAGTGATCCCACCTAGAGTGAATGGTTGTACCTTCCTATTGACCTTATTATGTGTCTACATATATTTTATCCTTATGAAGTTGCTCACATAATTATGGAGGTTGGAAAGGTCCAGAACCTGCTGTCTGCAAGCTGGAGACCCCGAAGAGCCAGTGGCATATTCATTTTGAAATAGTTTGTATACACAACGTATGAGAAAATTCCCAGCGGAAAGGTAACCCAGTCACCCATAGCAGTAACCAGCTCATTAATTCTTACTTCATTGGATTTTCTCCCTTTCCAACTCACTTTTTGACTCCTTCACAAGTGTTTCCTGGTTTTAGCACTCAGTAAACAATTTGCACCTGAGTCCTTGTTCCAGGGAAATCCAAGCTAAATGTGGCACAGTCGGGTCCAGTCCTTGGATCTCCTCTCTTATTCAACCTCAATCATTTTCTTGTGACAGAACCAATAGTCTCATGGCTTTGGATATTACACATATGCAGTGATTTTCAGACTATATCTCCAGAGCCAGAAATCTCCACTAAACTTTTAATGAACATGTCTATGTAGAAATTTAATATGTATCAGATTCAGTAAGCTCAACAGAGCGTCTGACAGTTTCCCTCCCCAAAACCTACTCCTCTGAAAGATTTACCAGAAGTCAGTAAACTTTGTGTGCTTGAGAAGAGACAGCCTGTGTGAGCACAAGGGTTGCTAGAGGAGAGAGTACAGGCATACTTCTGTGATACTGAGGGATCACTTTCAGATAACAGCAATAAAGCACAAATCACAAGATTACAGGCAACTGAGTTAGATAGAAATATTATAGGCAGTCAGACAGGGCTAGGTCCTCAAAGAAGCCAGTGCAGAAGATGAGGTACCTTGCAACTATGACAGAGACAGACACAGTGTGCGCCGACCTCAAGACAAAAGATTAAACAAATACAGCTACATCCTAAGAGCTGGTATTCTAAATAGGTCTCTATCACCCTGAGAAAGCCAGGAGCCACCATCCTAAATCCCTATGGGAAGAGTCACTGCTCTTTAAGCATGCCCTCTCGCTGCATGACTCACTTCCCCATTTGTGCCCAATTTAATCAATTTTACCTGAGCAATTAATCTTATTTGTTGACCACAGTTCTGTCCCACCTTATGACTTCCTTGCAAGTTCCCGTTTTGGACCCATATTATCTCATGGTTTTGCTCTACAAAAATCCCTAAAAAGACAGAGTCTTTGGCAACCCACTTGGGACGCCTTCTGTCCCTCAGATATAAGCTTTTTTTCTCTCAATAAATATATTTTGCTCTTAAGCTTTGTTGTTCCTAAAATTCATTCTTTGATTTTAGAGACCACAAATTCTTGTACTGAACGAGTAGTAGGTTGGGAGTTTCATCCCCCTATATGAACAATAAAGAGAGTCATATGAATTGTCTTGGTTTCCCAGTGCATGTAAAAGTTATGTTTACACTACACTGTGACCTATTAAGTATGCAATGCCATTATATCTAAAAAACAATGTACATGCCTTAGTAAAAAGACTTCATTGCTTAAAAAATTACTAGTATTCATATGAGCTGCTACAACAGCTAAGATATGAAGTCAGCCTAGGTATCCATTCACAAATCAGTGAATAAAAAAAATGTGGTGCATATACAGACACTGAAATTTTATTTAGCCATAAATCCTAAATGTAAGCAGAGATTAGGTCAACTGAAACAAGTCAAGCATAGAAAAGTATCACATTCTCTCTCACACATATGGAAACTGAATAAAAATACATCTAAATATACAATAATGATAACTAGAGCTAGGGAAGAATGGAAGAGGGCAGGGTAAATAAAGAAAGGTTGGATTTGGTCCATGCCTACCATATGCATGTGTTGAAATGTCACACTGAGCCCCACTAATAAGCACAATTAATACATGGTAATAAAAAATATAAGGTGATTTTGTAAAAAGGAAAACAAGAATGGCAGAATTAATGGAACAGGAAATGAAAAGAAATTCCCTACCCAGAGAAGAGTTGTACTATACATATGGTTGTACTTGCTGGCAGGTTTTCTTGTAGCTAATCCTGTCCAAAATCTCCTCACTGATGAGCTGACATACTTGTTTCCCAGTGAGAAAAAAGAGCATCTCATACAGGCAACTGTTGAAATTGCAAGATCCAATTTATTAGCGTAAAGCTAACCCTAGTATTAGCATCAGCTTAATTTCAGAATCTAAAGTTGTTGAGATTTACAAGTAAATTTCAATTCTCTCTTAAGTCTCATTCTATCTTGCCTAAAATTTATAGGCTCCAAAGTCTCTGTTGATAAAATGAAAATAATACTTTCTGAGTACCATGAGATACAACTGTAGTCCTCCCAGTCACTTTCTACCTCTCTCCTGACCTTTTCTCATTAACAAATACACTTTTCTTTGGATAAAGTAAAATGCATTTGTGAGATTACTTTTGTTAAATGCCAACCATGTTGTCTGGTGGCACAGAAGTGGACAAGAAAGATAGTTTACTAGAATACTCAGAGGAAAAACATTTTTTACTATGTGTCCCAGAAAATCCTGGAGCTAGAGAACATTGCTCTGAGGCTGAAGGAGTAGTCTACCTTCCCCAAGAAATAGCAAAACAATGAGGTGGTATTATTTGCTGTGATCAGCTAAAGATTGACAACAAGGGTTCATAAAGATTCCATTTTCTCAGATTCCAAAAACTCATCTACTCATATGTCCTTTAAAATGTTCTTTTTGAGGTTTCTTTCCTTTGATGTGGTTTACAGACACTGGTATTTCCTTAACAGTGGATTATATATCTGGTCCAAGAGGCAGGCCTGCGGATAGCAGGCAGGTGGGAAGAGACAATAGAGGCCACAAACAGTGCAAAGCAGTCAGGGTAAGCAAGGACAAAGGAAGGCTCATTTTCTTCAAAAAGAGAATTCAACAGCTGCTATGTCCTGGCAACAATGAACAGGTTCTTGTCCCTAGATCAAGATCTAAGCGCAGAGTTAAAATTCCTGAGTGGCAGAGGAAGTGGTGGCAGAAGTGGGGGTCCAATTTGATGCTAGAATAATTAGGGTTCAGATGAACATCCAGGGGACATACAAGGCCCCCAGAGGCCAGGTAAAACATCAAGATGGCCAGGATATTATTCTGTAAAAAGAAAAGAAAAATGATTTAAGGATTAGGGTCGATTTGCAAGGAATTATTCCATTCAAGCTAACTTGAAGAAGGGAGCAGATTGCTGTCCAGAATAGGAAATAGCTTAGGAGACATACATATCCTACATGGATGTGAGCCAGGTGAAAATCCTGTCTCACATGCCAGCAACTTATTCAACCAGTTCCTGTGTAAGTCACAAACACTACAGCCGTTCCTCTGTATCCACAGAAAATTGGTGCCCAGGACTTCTGAGGACACCAAAAAATGCACAGATGTCCAAGTCCCCTACATAAAGGGACACTGTATTTATTTATAGCACCTACAACCTCCTGTGCACCTCAGTTCTAGGTAAATGCTATGCAAATACTGTTACATTATATTTCTAAGAGAAAAAAGATAAAAGTCTATATATATTTAATACAAGTGTGATTTTTTTTCAAACATTTATTTTCATTGAGTGAGTGGCTGAATCCACAGATGCAGAACTCACAGACTACCCTCAAACTTTCACAGAAATTGTGAAGGTGAGTGAGACAAATGTCTTCCTATTTTACAGATGAAAATGTTGAGGTTCAAAGTAATCATGTAATGATGTAGGATTATATGGCTACAAAGAAGCAACAGCAGGATTTAAAACCTGGTCTTTTATCCCTCAATTTATGCTTTCCTCAACATTAACTGCTCCCACATTTTTGGTTAAATACCTGGTTTTATACCAGTTATTTATCAGTTAGTTGCTTACCAGTTGGTTGTTCAATCAAAGAGCCTGGCAAAAAACTGCACTGGCCTTAATTCTGCAGCTGGGCTTCAGACCAGCAGCTTCCCTGAGCCAGCCATCCAGGAGCCATCCTTGGACTTCCTAGCCCAAGTTGAGAGGGAGCTTCTTCCTCCATTCCCCTGGAGAGGTCTGAGGTTCAGGGTTGATGTCCTGTTCTTTTGATGACTCTCATGGATCTCCCTACCATAGCATCCACACACACTGAGAATAAAATCTGGGGAATGACAAACTAAGGGCTTAAAGATCATCTAAGAAAGCTAAATTTGGATTAAAAATAGAGACTGATCATTACAGTTCTGGTATACGATTTGAAGGCAAGCTTTCTAGTTTTGGAAAGTGGCTTGTTTTCTCTGAATCTTGTTCTCTTCAAATTTAACAAACAGACATTGATCAATAATTATCAAAACTTCTTTTATTCTTACAGTCACTAGTTGTATGTTGTTTATTATCTCCCTATAAATTCCTCCAGAAAAAATAACTCTATTAGAATCCCTCAGACCTGTATCTGGAAGTACACATGAAGCAAGGAATGGTTGTGGGAGACCCTGAGCCTGGTAGAGCTACCCTTATACCCAGAATCCACTCAACCACCTGCTCTTCTGCCATCACCCCCCATGCTAGCTCTTGTGAACTCTATCAGTAGGACTTACCTGAGCAGGTCACACCTACATCTTCCTTGTGGTCACAGTCATGATACCCCCAAACCCTGTGCTTGCACTGGTCGAGGGACTGCTCCTTCCCTGAGCAACGAACATCATCCAGCCAGATGCGGCCAGCCCCAGGAGCATATCTTTTCCTGGAGGGTGAAACAAGGGGCTTTCCACAGCCCAGTTGCTTGCATACCACTTGGTCTTCCAAGTCTCCCCAATTGTCATCACAGACAGTGCCCCATTTGTCCTTATGTAGTACTTCTAGTCGCCCAGAGCACATGCTGTCTCCTCCTACCAGCTTCAGCTCACAGGCATCTGGAGCATGGAGAAGAAAGTTGAAAGTTGGAAAGAGAAAGGGAAAGGGGGAAAAATAAGACCATTTGCAAGGTCCTTCTGCAAAACCCAACAACACATCTGAAACTTTCCACTTGTGTTTCTGTGATTGGTCTTCAGCAGTTTTCAAACTCTAAGGCTCAGTCTGTTTCCTGGATGGATCTTTCTACCTTCTCATCTATTTTACCAATCTTTTTTATCAGTGCATATTTGAAGTATGTAATGATTATATGCATCATAGGGAATTGGTACATATAACACATCTTAATTCTTTTTTTATCTCCTTTTACAAATTATGCCCTAATAGCTTTTAAAAACTAGAGTACTCAACAGAGGGGCTGGGTGATGTACCCTGTCTTTACAAAATTCAATAAAGTGCAGTTAACTTTAATGTAGTACATAATATTGCTTAGATGGCTTCATACAAAGTCAGTTATTATCATTATACCCATTTAAAATATAAGACAGCCGACAATCTACATATTTAAATAAGTTTGGCTGGTTGGTCCATTGGTGCATGAGTAGCTGCATATATTATTTGAATGAGATTCCATTTAAAAATTATTTCCATAAATGAGCCTAGTCTCCAGATAAATAAGCATCATCTTCTGTTACCTTCGCATTCTACCCATGTGTCATCATAATGGCTACAGCTGTTCCTCTTTAAAGGCCCAGAATCACAGTCCTGAATGGTGGCTTCTTGTCCTGAGCATTTGATCTTGCTCATCCAGATGGACACTTGATCCTGGATGGTCTTGTTGCATTGTCTTCGGGCGATCAGGGCCCTCCCGCATCCCAGCTGCCGACACAACACCTTGGCCGCCTGGAGGTTCCATCCTCTTTTGCACGCAGTGCTCCACTGGCCTTCATGCTGCACCTCCACTCGCCCAGCACAGTGTCCAGGGCCATCGACTAGCCGCACACTCTTTGGGACCAGGAAGAAAGGGATCTCTGGGACTGTGGAGGAGCTTTCTAGCTCTGAAGTGGAAGAGCTTCCTGGCACTGTGGAGAAACAAATCCAAGATGTGTGGTTTTTTGCAAGAATATGGTCTTCTCAGAAAAAGGGGTCCCCAAGGTATACATGGCTCAGTTCTTTGTGTTCAGTATCATGTACCTTAGAGAGCCCCTAGAGACTGAGCGCAGCCTGACAGATACTTGTCAAGAGAATGGATGAATGAATCAGTGAAGTGAATGTTTCTCAATGTCAGGCTGAATCATTAGGACTTCTGTAGCATTTGAATTTGTCTAATTATTTTCACATTCATTCCATTGTTCCTCAGTTCTTCATGTGACAGTTCATTCGAGGCAGTATAATCTATACAATAGATACACATGAATCTTTGTATCTATTCATGTAAACATAAAAGATCAAAAATATTCTAATTCAATGTTGACATTAACCAATCCTCAACCTTTCTAAGAAATAAGAATGAGAGCAGAAGGCTAGGGATATAGCTTAGCAGCACAGTGCCTGCCTGGCAAGTGCAAGATCCTGAGTTCGATTCTCAGTAGCAAAAAAATAAAAATAAAAAGTATCAGACTAGCATTAGGACAAAAGTAATTTTTTTCCTCAGAAATTCTGTCGGAGGGAACATTGCAGTCTAATGAAAGGGAAAGAATACACAAAGGGAGAAATTGTTATTAAATTTGTAAAGCAAATATATAGAGAAAGCTAAAAGAATACAGGTCTGCATATGTATGTATCAGTCTATCTACCATCTATCTAACTAACTCCATGAGATTGTGCTGTTTTCTTGTGACCTTCTCTTGCCTACTTGACAAGACTGTAGATTCTATGAGAACTAAAACTACCCAAAAAACACATATTACACCTTGTGAGTTCATTTCTTTTCTAGAGGAAAGTTAGAACTCCACCTCGGACATAGGATATATCATTAAATGGATGTTTAGTTGTGCTATCTGTTTGTTTTCATGTGTTTAAATAAGAGAAATATATTCTTGTATAGATTGAAACTAAAAGAAAAACATCAGTAGGAATAAAAATTCCAAGTGAAAGTATTATTATCTCCAGGGCTCACAATTGAGGAAGTGTGAGATGCGATGAAGAGCCGACTAGCCAGGGTGTGAAAGCCCATGACAGGGAATGAAGAACAGGAGAAGCGGCTATGCAGGCTATGGGCAGCGTAGATGGTCCTTGAGCCCTACCATACTTACTCTCACATGATGCCCCAGCATCCTCTTCATGTCCACAATTAAAAACATCTTTATCTTGCTCGCATTCAGCCAGTGTGTCTTCCATCCCATTGCAATTGACATTTTGGCTGAGGACAGGCTGATTCTTTTCTGCCAAAGGCTCATACATAGTACCACTAGGAGATTTCTTGGCTGTTCCACAGCCCAGCTCCCGGCACACCACAGCCACATCCTCCAGGCCCCAGCCATCATCACACACTGTGCCCCACTGGCCATCCCATTCCACTTCCACTCGCCCTTCACAGTGGTGGGGACCTCCCACCAGTCGTACTCTGGGTGAAGTTCCTGCAAAAAGACAGAGTATCAGCTGGAGACCTGGGAGGAGTTCAGTGCATGATCAGAGATGTACTTACTCAGTCAGTCTTGGATACCCCATGACAACATGACATGACAAGCTAGAGAACTAAAAAGGAAAGGTTGAAGAAGGAGAAAGGAGCTCTAGAACTCCATCTCTGAGCTCTGATTCTACTACATATTTCGTTACACTCTACTGAAGACACTCCACTTCAGGACACCTAGATGTTAGTGCTGGCTTTTTCATATTAAGAGAAAGAGATTGATTGATGCAGTAGAATTTTTAGACTCTGGTGGTCAGAATTAGAAAGGCCAGTACAAACAATCACAGCTACTGACTACCCCATCATAGATGAGGGAAAAGACTTTCATGGAAATGATAGCCCTGCAGTTATACTGTTTGATAACAGAAGCACCAGGACAGAACATAGGTATAAAGATCACATCTAATGATTGACTCTCTGCAGTAGCCAGACTGAAGCATAATTTACATAGTTTCGCCTGAATATAATTACATAATTTAACTGAACAACTTCACTCTCTCCACTGTCATTGACCCAATCCTACCCACTCTTGCTGCTTCGTATGGCAATATCTCTTGTCCAAGTACCTGGCTCAGAAGAAACACAAAAAGCACAAATCAAGGGAACAGTCAGAGCTTTACAGTCTCAGAACCCAAATAATTTCAGTAGAAGATTCTGGGAAGTAACAAAGAAGTATCATAGAGCCTGCAGACACATTTTGGAGAATCAAAGACTTGGTTCTGTTTTTTGATTTGAATTATGAGTACGGAAAAACTAACAAATTCTCTCTCGCCTGCAAAGATAGAAGTGGGGTGCAGATGGCTGTGCAGACTAAGGAAGAGTCCATCAAACAATAAACATTTGTTGAACATGCAGTATGTCTCAGACATTGTGTTGTGAACTCAAAGAACAATCGTGAGCAAACTCATGATTTATGCCCTCAAAATGCTTGAGACAATCTCAGCAAATGTACTGGAGCCTGACAGCAGTGCAGCAGAGAGCTGAATTTGCCACTGTTTTTTACAGTTGAACAGTTAGCTAAGAAAGGCCTGGCACACCAAGGAAAGGCCACAGTTAGGCTAGTGGTCTGTGTTCTCATGAGATGTGAACACGCTGAACCACGTGGAATGACTCAGATGCCAGCATGAATGGAATGTGACTCCTGATTTCCCACTATTCCCTTGTTCAGCTCTGCACAAATTTCCCCAAACTTGAAATCAACCAGGAACAGTGATTGAATGGGAAATCTGGCTGATTTTAAAATGCATTGAGAAGTTTATGTTTGGTTAACTTATTTGCTTCCTTTCTTCATTTTTCGGGGTGAGGGCAATACAAAGAATAGAGACTAGAGATAGAAACTGAAGATTTTACCACAAAAGCTAAGATAAATTGCCATTGTTACACACTGAAATTTAAAGGTTATATATCTGGATAAAATGTAGTTAAAATCACAAAGAAATAATTTTTGGGTCACTGAATCTAAAATCAGAGTTTTAGTTGACACTACTGTGCATTCTAATAAATAGTTAATATTAAGGTCATTTACAGATTATTTTATTTCATTTCAGTTACTAAACTTCTTGCCTTTAATGAAGAAGATGGGAACGGAGTAGACAACTAGGGCAGTTCCCAAGAAGAAAGAAATAAGCAAAAAAAGAAACAAAATTATTGTAAAAGAAATTTAGCCTAAGGGAATAGAAAGCTGAGAAAAATTGTGAAAGGCAAAGGGTGAAGAGAAGGTTGTCCTAAGGGGCAAACATGTCCTTGGCAGTGTCTTTAGCTTACTTTATTATCAAAGGGCTTAAGAAAAGGACCCAAAGGAGCAACCTCCTGCAGAGTAGAGAGGCTATAAAGAAAGTGGTTGCCTGCCTGCATTGAATTAATTGATAGCCCTGCCGGCAAAACAAAAGAAAACAAAACAAAAAAAAAACTAATCTGAGTATGGGGTTAAGATCTTAGAAGCAGCATCTTTAAGGAATCAAATTGTATTCATCAAGAATTTTCCACACCAAGAGCAGCTTGTAGGTAACGCTCTGACATCAAGTGAGACATTGGATGTGTAGGTAGAAGAAACACTAATTCCCAAAGTCTCTCCTTGGGTTTGGACCACCCAAAGTCTTCCTCTTTCTCTCCTTCCTCATTCTATCTGCGCAGCCCCACCCTCTTCTTGGGGGTGAAATTGACACAAAGACAAACAGGCTGAAATCCATTCTGCCCTCTGTTGATCAAACCATAAGCTGCACAGAAGCAGATATATTTCCACTTTACAGGTACCAGTAAGGTTGTCAGGCAGATCTATTTTTAACCAGCAGGACAAAAGGAATTTTATTCTTCAGTTATGCCCTCAGAGGATCTGAAATGTCACCACAAGTTCTCTTGTATGCCCAAAGTGATTGGATCCTGGGGCGCACAGCTGACTTGCATTTAGGAGGCAGAGCCTGGTGGGCTAAGTGGAAATGTGACCTGGAAGAGTATATTCTTCTTCCTGTCTCTCTCTCTCTCTCTCTCTCTCTCTCTCTCTCTCTCTCTCTCTCTCTCTCTTTCTCTCTCTCTCTCTCTCTCTCATTCTGTCTCTATCTTTCTCTCTATCTCTTTATCTTTCTCTCTCTACTTTCTGGCAACCATGAGAAGAGCAACTGTCCTCTGCACAGGCTCGCCCACTGTGCCATGTCTGCCTTGGAGTCAGCTGACTATGCCCTGGAAACATGAGCCAAAACACACCTCACCTCCTTTAAGCTATCAGGTATTTTGTCTCAGTGGTGAGAAAGTAACTAAGACGGGGGTAAAATGCCTTCTGCCCCTAAAACTAATCTGTCATTTGGATGCTGGCTAAATTTCTTGGGTCACAGAGAGAAGGTGGGAAGAGGTCTCTTGGCAAGTAAAATCATGATTAACCTTTTCATGGTTTTTGGAGGTGGAAATTTTTCCCAATAAGACTGATAGTACACAACAGGAAACAGAAAAGGAGGTTATTGGGCCTGTTTTGAACCACAGTCTTTCTCCATGGCCCAGGAAGCTTCAAAATTGCCCCTCTCTTAATCCTGGAGCCATGATAGCCTTTCTCTTGGCATCCCTCCTCCCACTCCACCAACCCCAAATCTTACCGGAGATGCCAGGTCCAGGGCAAATGGCTAGGGAAGAGAAAAGGAAGTGAGTGAAGTCATAGAATAATTCTCGAAGGCTTTATTCAAAGAATTCAACTCTCTAGAATCCCACCTTCTTCATTAAAGGCAAGAAATTTAGTAACTGAAATGAAATAAAATAACCTGTAAATGACCTTAATATTACCTATTTATTAGAATGCACAGTAATGTCAACTAAAACCCTGATTTTAGATTCAATGACCCAAAAATTATTTCTGAGTGATTTGAATTATATTTTATCTAGATATATAACCTTTAAATTTCAGTGTGTAACAATGGAAATTTATCTTAGTTTTTGTGCTAACTTTTTTGAGAATGCTTGAGTGGTACCTACAGAACCTGCTGTAACCTTCTTCTCCCAAAACACATGCTCCAGGAACCTCGGAGAACAATTCTGCTGCAGCTAACTGACCTGGCCCCTTCCCTTTACATGTGCTGTGTCTCAATCCAGGTGTAGGTAGATTTGGTTTTCTAGTCAACGAGACTGATTGGTTGTAATTGCCTGAATTAGAAGGGTGATGAGTCAGCTTCTTAACTCAATAGAAAAGTGCACTGGAGGCTGCTGGTAAGATGCCCCTGTGAGCACCTAAGGAAACCATCAAGACAGTGCAGAGACTAGATAACAAGTTTGTGTTTATTGGCATTGCATTTAGATCAGGGTCTGTGAAGTCTTACTACAGAAAGCCAGAAAGTAAATATTTTAAGCATTATGGGCTTCATATTCAGGTCTGCCCTCATAATATGAGCAGTCATGTATTTGTGGACCGAGAGACATGGCCACATTACAATAAACCATCATGCACATAAATTTTATTTTATTTTATTTTCATGTGTCATTAAATATTATTTTCCTTTTCATTTTCTCTCCACAATTAAAAAATGTAAAAGCCATTCTCAGCTTATAGAATATGGTTTGCTGACACCTGACTTAGAGGATCAGCTCAGGACTATATTTAGTTCCAGATTCTCAGATTTAAGCACTAAGCACATCCCTGAAATATTGAGTTTTTTATTTTGTTTGTTCATTTGTTTCTGTGGGATCTCTGTCAGGTTGGGCTCTTCTGTCCACTAGACTCTCTTTTAATGCTAGAGAGTCCTGAGCTCTGTGACCTCCTGTAGACCTAGAGGCTCCGGCACTTTGAACTATATAACTCACCCAATATCTCTATCTTACAAGATTTTTCTGAAACAGCAAGTGTCTTTAGACCTCCACCCCAGAACTTGTCAGGCAGATCCAAATATTTTAACCGTTAATCCTGGAGTATTTCCATCTATTGGTTGGTAGATAACTTTTCATTAACCCCGTGGCCTTAATCTTCAGTGTGTGGCCACCCTCAGACTGAGCATGACCTTGTCAGTAACTCTAAAACTTAAGGTTATTTCACCCACACTTGAAAAACTGCATAGCCTTCCACAGAAAAGCTGTGTACACGAGACACAAAGTGAATGTGCCAAGACTACTATGCAGGTGCAAAAGAGGGACGGCAAGTCAGGACTTGAAGCTGCTCACGGGGTGGACAAGTGCAGGGGCACAGACCAGAAAGACTTCACAAGCAGCTAAACTTCGAAGGAAGGTGAGAGGCTGAGTTGAACCTCTGTGAGGGGCAGCACTAGTCAGATGCTGTTGGAGATGTGAGAGTGTTTAAGATAGAGCCAGCACCTTACACTGCAGTACGAGTGCTAAACTGAAGACCCATGTGGCTCTGGCAATGTCCTACACCCATGATGTTGAACTGTTCAGCTCCTGCAGTGACAAAAATAGCTCACTGCAGCTTGCCATAGGTGCATCTCCACTGCTCTAGATCGTCAGGGCAATAAAAATGGGTGTGACTGAATAAGAGTTCACAGATTCGTTAGGTGTCCTATATTAATTATCTTATGAAAAGTTTCCAAAGAAACCTCTAAAGAATGTAACATTATTTTCACTTCATAAACTAAAGAACAAGATTTCAGAGAAGTATAAAAACCTACCAATTCAGACAGCTAAGAAATCAAAGATACAGGACTGAAACACAGCACTCTCTGGCTCCAAAATCTCTGTATTATCTAGGATGATTTCTAGCCTAATCTAGGCAAGAAGAAACTGGGGAAAATTACAGAAACATGTGAATCACTTTTCAGAGAAAGAAGGACAAAATGTCCAATGAAAGGTGATACTTTTACAGCTCTGCTTTCCTGCCTTGTTTTACCTGCTACTCCCACCAGCATCCATTTGTCTTCTTTCTGTTAAGTAGAGGGAATTAAATCCAGGCTCTTCAGACTGAGCTACCTCTCCAGCCCTTTTCTAATTTGGTTTTTCTTTATTTGTTTGTTGGAGACAATATCACACTAAGTCACTAAAATGCCCAGCCTGGACTCAAACTCCTGTCTCAGCCTCAGAGTTCTGGGATTACAGGCATCCACCACTACATGTGATGTGTGTGTGTGTGTGTGTGTGTGTGTGTGTGTGTGTGTGTGCTGTAGTTATAGTTATTTCAAAGGGGAATGCAATAAGCTACCATAATTCTGTTGGTACAAATACAGAAAAATAGAAAACAGCTGGAAATCAAACCATAGTATAAATTAGATTGACTAAGAGAGTTTTTAGGGTTTAGAAGAATTTCCAAGAATGGAAATGAGGGAGAAAGCCATCCTTGAAAGATATTTGAAGATGGGTAGGGAAAAGATTTTTCTAAAGTTTCCAGGAAACCCTGAAATCTAAAGCAATGGGAGCAGAGATACTCACCGAGGATCAAGATGAATGGCAGAGCCATGATCCGGACAGCTGAAAGTGAAAAGCTGAAATTTAAAGCCGAGTGTAGGCCAGGAGCAGTAATATTCAGCTGTGGCTTCCAGTGGGCTAAGAGGAGGAAGACGGCCAGACCTGTGTGCAACAGAAACACTATCAGATGCCCAGTAACCAATGGACTCAGGAGACAAAACTTACAGAGTTAGATCTGCTGAATTCAGCATATTTAGAATCTAGAGGAAGAGAAGAAGTGAAAGAAGATGAAAGCAAAACTAAAATTAAAAATAAAAATAAATAGGCTGTTCTGATTTGCTTCTGCTGTGAGCCAAGCTCCATCCATCTCTGCTTCACATCTTCACTACATAAACAAGGGAAACAGCTCACACAGGGAAAGGCAAGCGGCCGTTTCTCGTTAGAAAACTAGATAATGCTTAGCCTCCAAGGGGGTCTGTGGAAGTAGGCCAAGTTGGATTACTTTACTTAAAAAGTGGTGCTTAGAGCCTATAAAAGCCACAGAGGTAGCCCAGAAGGCCCATTCTATAGGCCATACTCCAGGGACAAGGTATTCACCTGTGTCTGTAAGACCACTTTATACCTTCCAACCATATTTCCCAGGGCTTAACAAAGGGTCCAATCATAGGTCTACTCTTTTTTTGTCTTTGTTTTTTGCTGATGTGAGCCCATGATCAGAGCTGAGGGGCAATGGGTCTCTGGGGTGATGGACTCCCTGACTACTGAACTCAAGTGCCTTCAAGTCACAGTACAATGGACAGTGATTGGGCAGCAAGACCCTCAGTTATTCTCAGACTTCTCTGCTGTATTATTAAGTAAAATTGTGTGTGAGTTTCAATTCTAGTTTAGCCAAGCATTCAACTTCATTTGCTATCACAAGCACAGTTCTTTCAAGCAGGGTAATTTTTCTTCTATATGGGAACATCTTAGCTTCTTTGTAATATTCAGTCACTTAGCACAGGACTTGGTCCATTATAAGCATTAGTTTTTAATCCTCTATTTTTCATTTATTTATTATTATGCTAAAAAAAAGTTTTTAGCAGCTGTGAATGGCCAGCAATGTGACTGATGGAGAATCGTGTGGATAAATGAAAGAATTTGATCTACACTCGAAGAGAATGAGCCAGGAAGACTAAAAGTTTGAGCTCTGTTTGGGAAAATTATCCAGCACCTGTCTCAAAATATTTAATTAAAAATCACACATATGCAGAAAGAAAATGATCTAATAATGCTTAGCATATAAAAACTGCTTCACAACAAAAAGACATTTTACAGAAAGGAAAGTACAAGAGACTCCACAGACATTATAGAGGAAATGGCTACTTTTATTTTATTTGGGACTAATCATGGATGACTTCAGAGAGATTATGGCCCCTTGAGCAAGGGTTAGAGGTGAGCAGAGTGGAGAATCAGAATGGAAGAAATCATTGCTATTTATCTGCAGAGACAAAAGCAGCAACCCCCACTTAAGGAACGATAGGTAGTTTGAAATGACTGGTTCACATTCTGCTTGGTGGTCAGGGGTCATGATTTATTGGTTAGTGGAGTGATGGTGAGCATGTTATGAATGAGTTTGTAAATGATAATTACTTACATCCTTCCTCTCTAGATTCTGCAGCATTGCACTGACAGACACAGAATTTAGAAAAGGCTCAAAGGAGCAGTTTTGCTACTGAGCTAGATGAGACTGCAAGTGGAATCTAAGATCTTATGCATTTTCCTCCTGATGTGACAGCTGAGTTTACACTTGGGGACCGAAGGCCTTCATGTGTCCTACAGGCAAACAGCCCACTGGAGAGCACAGACCATATGATTTGAGAATATATTCCTCATCTCAAATGGGAAATTAAGTGGAAGAAAAGGAGAGAGAAAAAAAACACAAAAATAATTTCCACTTCAAAATATTTTATTAAGAGTAAAGAACATGGGAGCTGAAAGAGTAAATAAGATCCAAAATGTACAATAGATATTGTGAAATGGAAAGAAACTGTTCAAAAGGAAGGAGAATCTGTGATAGGAGAAAAGAAGGAAGGAAAAAGAAAAAAAAAATATATATATGAGAGTTAAGACATTATAACTAATTTCTCATAGTTCATTGATAAGAAATGTTTGTGCTAATATTGCTTGGTCAATTGTACATGCCTTTGTCTTGTATTCTGAGCAACTTCTTTAAAGATAACAATATGTAATGTGTTAACCATTGTTACTCCCCTATTATCTTGTTTTGAAATTTTGTTTCATTGTTTTTATTGTTTTCTCTCTTTAAAATAAAAAAAGAATAAAGAACATGAAGGAAAGAAAAGGACTCTTCCAACTAGAGAGGATGTGGCTCCCTGAGTCTCAAGAATAACCAAAAGGTGCTGTGCATTTGAGAGCAGATGCTTTCTGACTGCAGCTGAAGAGGCAATTGGAAGGGAGGCAGACCACTGGTGAGTCATGGAAGCCCACTAGGAGATCACTGCACTTGTCTGCAGAGTCAAAGGAGGACTTGAACAGAAAGTATTAGGCTGTGCCTGGTAGTCACAGTGTGTGTGTGTTGGGAGGGGGGTATTGTGCTTCTAAAATGTAGCAAAGGTCTGAAACAGGCACTGAGGTGAAGGAATTCTCAGTAAGGTCAGGTGAAAATATGAGCTTTATTCCATTAGGTTGGAAATCCACTTTTGTAAGCTGCCTCAACATGCCCAGTTAGTGATCTTGAGATCCTCTCAGAGTACCCTCAGAGAACCAGTATATGAGGCTCAGCTATCATGGGCTTCAAGTAGAGGCACCAACTAAAGTGGTTAGAAAGCTTGGAGAAGACCAGAAGATGGACTGCGAGAAAGGGCAAGAGGAGTAAGTTCTGGGAACAAAGTTTTTAATGAGGAAGGGCTGGGGTAAGGGTTGGTGTTAGAAAGTTTAATGTATGGGAAGTTACTCAGAGAATGGAAGAGAGTGCTCAGCATTTTAGAGGATGCTTAGCCAGAAGACTAGAAGAGAGGAAAGGGGAAGCTTCAGAAACAGAGCAGTTTAGGCAATTCAGAGATTATCAGTGAAAGACTTATCTAGAAGAAGGAGATGAAATAGAAGGCACAGGGTGGAGAAATACAAAGCTATGTGGAAGTACATATTCCTCTGAGGGACATTATTTTTTTTTTTAAATCAAGAATCCAACTCAGGGCCTCAAACTTACTAGGTTAGCACTGCTTTACTCACCTACATCTCAGGCCCTAGGAGGACATTAACATTAGAAACATGTCAGAAGTTAGAAGACAGTCTCTGGATATTATCACAAAAGGCCCTCTACATCCTGCTGGCTTGACATCAAGGTGAAACCACTATGATAATTAATTGACTATGACAGCTACCAGTGGACTCCATAAGAATATTTGAGGATATCTGAGTTCTTGCCCTTCCATTCTTAGTGCTTAGTATTCAATAAATGATTGTTGGCTCACAGAATACATGAATGAGAGATCACTGTCAGACAAACAATATCACTGAGTCTCTAGATTCACAGAAACACCATCTCTTGACTCTACTCTTTCTGACATTGTCTTTTATGGTTGGGCTGGGAATGCCATTCTGAGATGTTTACCAAAATGACCAGACCTCCTCTTGGCTGATTTTCTATGAGTACCCCATCCAGAACACAGGATGATGATGGGTTTGATTGCTCTTTCATGTGTACAGATGTAAATGTCTGTGAATAACAGCATTTATTCCCTCCTGTTTCTTTTTTGTCCTCTCAGGACTCAATCAGGAAAGAGAAGAACCTCAAAATCATGTTACATAAGAATTCAGGGCCTGTGAACACAGTCTTCAAGCATTTAGAATAAATGCGTTCTGGGGGAAAGGAGAAGCCACCACCTACATATGCAAACTACAAGGAAACATTTTTAACTCACTATAAGAAAAAAACAAAGAATGGGTTGTCTCTAACAGCCCTTGTGACCATGAACCATCTGCCCCTGTAGATGTTCAGATCCATGGGCTGTTAATAGACAACCCAACATTTAGGTAATCACCAAATCTCAGGTCTGTTTATTGAAGGAAAGCACTTACAGGAAAGAGGTCCTAAGAGCTTCAGTTCCAACAGTGACTATCAGTGTGGTACCTCTGTGGATGCTGAGGGGTAGACAGAACATCTAGGTTGTGGCCTCACTCACAGGTGCACCAAAGCCATACTGTTCCCTGTTCTCAGGATGAGGACTCAAGAGGCAGGACAGGTGCTGTCAGTGAAAGAATGGAGCCAAAGCGAGGAAACCCTGTCATCCTGACTGATCTGGTTACATCATACTGGCTATGTCAAAAACAGTGCTAACTGTCCATAAGTCCTGAAGGTGCTCTGTCCTGAAGGCTCACCGGTCCTTTCCTGGACTTTCCCAGAACCATCCTTAAACAGAGACATGATACACAAAGGCCAAGAGCCTGGGCTCTGGGGACAGACAGACCAAGTTCCAACTCAGTCACTTATTAACTGCATGGTCTTGACCAAGATACCTTCCTTGTCTATTTCTTGAGTATTTTGTTGACAAGATTTATAATTGTTTTTGCTAGGATGATCAGTTTTTATTTCCGTCTTTTATTACATAAATATTTAACTTAATCTTGCCTAATCCACGTTCATGTTCCTCTTTTCAAGGGGAAATCAAAAGTGACAGCAAAGCAAGTTTACCCGATAACATCTCAGAAGCATCAGGTGGGAGCTGTTCAGTATCTAAGCTGTATTAGCTTTACCCCAGCCCCTCTTCTATGTCCCAAGCAGAGTTAGAGGACAGCCCTAAATGTACATGGAGATTTCATGAAGAATAAATTGTCATATCAAAAGTCCTTTTTCTGATAATGTTGAAATACACGGTTCACTGCAGGGCCATGAGAAAAGAGGAAAAGAACTGGCTGAGAATCTGATCTAGATTTGGGGTTACCGGACATCACTGCACATGCTGTCCTGGAGTGGAGGATGTTACACAAACAGCAAAACCAGAGGTCCCTAAGAAGTCATGCTCGCAGTTTACTCCTGGGTGCTTCCTACCTAGCCTTAGGAATACACATGTGGAATCACAATTTTTTTTGCCGAGGAGACAATGACTTTCCTAATATGTGAGACCAAACAAGTCATCTGTCCTACCCAGCCCTGATTCTTG